GACTTTTGATGACTGAGAAATACTTAACAGCTCAATAGTTGGGACTGCATCACTGGTACACATATGTAATATACATGTGCATATATACACATCTATGCATATATATGGTGCACATATATACACACATATATATATATGTGTGTGTACCATATATATATATATATATATATATATATATACACAAGTATCCATATATATGTATGGATATGCACTCATTGTACACATGGAAAAGAGATCTTTAAAAATTGCTCTTCACCACCAATGCAGAGGAGAGTACTTAAAATAAAAGGTGAACTAAGAGTGAGAGACCCCCCCCACCCCCACATGTGCCTTCTGTGTGTTATACTGTGCTGGACATGGCTGCTCAATTCATTGACTTCTTATGGTAAGGTAACTTATATTTTACCAAGGCCACAAGGCTAGTGATATCCTAAACTAGCTTTGCTGACTACAAACCCTGTAGATTTTTCATCAAAGCACGTGATCTGCAGAGAATACTTCTGCATAGAAATGTGGCAGCTGAGCTGGGAGGTACACACCTGCAGCCCCAAAACTGGGGTCACAGAGGCAGAGGGGTTAGGCATTCAAAGCCAGCCCCATCTATGAAGTGAGTTTGAGACCTGCTTGGGCTACGTGAGACTTGCCTCAAAAATGACAGCAACAAAACATCCCCCAACCAAAAAAGCAGGCAGGCAAACAAATGGGATTGACATGTTCTACTTGTCTGACTTAACCATTATCGCTTAAATGTGTCTGCATATTTTTAAAGACTATGGGTCTTATTTTACTGGATTTCAGTGTCCCACTGTTTAACTGTTGTATAAGTATTTCTCAATCATCAGAAGTCTATGTTGTGACCTAGTGAGAGCATGGAGACTCTAGTTGGAAAGCTGGGGAACCAGCATTGGACTGAACCAAGCCCTCTGAATACGGCCACCAGCTAGGAGGCCAAAACAGCCCTCTAACAGTAAAGCCGGTGTTTATCCTTAGAGCACAAATGGACTTTGGGAGCCCATTCCCTATGGAGGGATACTATTGCAGCCCAGATACAGCAAGGAGGGCATAGGCCCGCCTCCCAATGATATGGCAGACTTTGACGATCCCGTGTGGAGAGCCTCCTCCCTGGGGAGGAGGTGGAGGGTGGGTTGGGGGGGTTGGGGGGGAACATGGGAGGGTAGGAGGACAAGGGAATGGGAGATGTATATGTAAATATGAGTGCCTCTAAAATAAAAAATAATTAAAAAAGAAAAAAAGTCTAGGTTTATTCCCTCTTTTCTCCATTGTAAGAGACTCTATGATACTGTGCTTCATTCAGACACATATTTGTGATTATTTTGAATCTCCCGAGTATATCTTTGAGGCAATTTTGCATTTATTTATTTAGGGTGTATACGTTTGTATGTGCAGGTATCTGAGGAAGTCAGAGGATAACCTGTGGCTGTCAGTTCTCTCCTTCTGCCATGTGTGTCCAGGAAATGAGATTTTAGCTTTAGCAGTATGTGAATCAGTTGCTGGCCCTCGAAGTCTTGGTTACATATAATTAACTCTTCCTATTATATATAAGGCAGATAGCCATTTTCCAGTATTCTAGTTCATTTAAGAGTTATCACACTATGAGACAACCCCAGAAAGTTGCCACGTTCCCCAACATGGGGTAGTAGAACCTAAAGATAATGGCAGGGTTTTCTATTTATGTAGAGTTCAGAAACTCTATGTAGAGTTAGAAAACAAAACTATGTAGAGTTAGAAAAAAATCATTTTCTCAGTGACTCTGATGATACTTTGATGTGCTCAGAGAGTAAGTAAGTGGAAATACAAATAAGATAAATTAATATTTAATATACCTCTAAAGTTGAAAGGTTGAGAACATCTGGCCAGGAAGGCTTTTTATTTCTTACTAGTTTTAAAATAGAAATCTCTGTTAGGTAGTTTGGGGTTTGGGTGTTTGGAATAATTGTGAAAGAACATTTTCTCCATCAAAGAGGCTCCCACTGAGCCAGGGCCAAGTTGCAGTGTCTAAGATTGAAGTGGACAGTTTTAGTGCAGTTGGCACACATGCATGTTTAAGAAAAACTTCACAGCGAACAACTTCGTGGAGTGTTCAGGTGTGAGCAGCAGTCTTTTCGGTGCCCCTGCAAGAAAGAACATACTTATCAGAGGGGAATGCTCATGTGAAATCCTGGCATTAGATACAGCGCTGGTATTTTACATTTATAAATGAAGGGTTTTGTGTGTGTGTGTTGGTGGGCAGAGGGGACTGTGTGGATGGCTCTGTGGTTAGGAGCACTGTCTGTTCTTGGAGAGGACTTGGGTTTGGTTTCCAGCATCCTTATGGCAGCTCACAATTGCCTGTAACTTCAATTCCAGGGGATTGGTGCCCTCTTGCCTCTTTGGACACCATTGTGCATGTGGTGCACCCATGTTTGATGTTTGATGTGGGTGTCTTTCTCAGAGAGTGGGTGTTTGGAAGCTTAGTGAATTAATTTACTGAGGAAGGAAGAAAGCCTAAGGGGTTAGCTCTTCTGATCTGCCACTTTTAAAGTATAAAGCCAAGTGCTGCTTCTGACATTCAAAGTCACATGACCTTACACAGGTGAACACTTACAACTTTTTAAAAATGAAACTTTCAAGCAGGTCCCTGACACACTCAGAGAAGTGATTTAAGAAAGGGCACTGTCTTAACAGAGCTGGAGGTGGTGGCCAAGCATGGGACTTGGATATATTCCAGTAGAGATGAATGGGCAAGCAGGCAGAGACTGCCTGGGGAGAGGAAGGGAAGGAATGGCTGGGAGTGACAGCTGAAGGACCTGGCACATTAGCATTACTTTGTGCGAGAGAGCAGGTGCCAAGTTTTGAACAAGAGCCCACAGGAGACAAGCAATGTGAAGCACAGAGACGGGGAAGAGGGAAGGAACAGTTTGCTGTGTGTGACACCTTCTGTTTGGCATCTGTGAACTGGTGATGTTTTAGTGACACCCAGTCTGATGTGGGTGTCTTGCTCCAAGAGAGGACTGTTTGGAAGCTCCGTGAATTAATTTACTGAAGAAGGGAGAATCCTTGTGTGTTTAGCTCTTCTGATCTGCCACTTTTAAAGTGAAAAGCTGAGGGCTGCCTCTGGCATTCAAAGTCACCAAGTGCCCAGGGATGGCTGACACGAGTGAGTGAACCCATATTGGAATGTGGACAGAGGGACCTCATATGCATATCTGACAGGGACATCAAAAGCAGTACCTGTCACTTGTTTATTCAGTGTGCACCCACATGGCAAAAGTGTCCAGCACTTGGCACTCAAGAAATCAAGGTCAAATCTGAAGGGCTGGATGTCTGTGGGTGCAAAAACAACACCACTAAACTGTCTTTAAATCCCTGAATGCTTGTTTCAAACATCTCGAGGATGTGTGTTCTGGGGCAGGTTTCAATTTCATGGTTGGACACTGTAAAATATTCTACATTGCGTGTCCCTGGTGTGACTTGAAGGGCTCCAGGTATCCATTTACATTTCTGCTCACACTGAAAGCCATAGGAATGAATTCTCCAGTGCCCAGCCAAAGGCAGCAGGGCCTGACTCACCTTATGCTTCAATTTCCTCAGACATCAAAAATAAGTCTTTTGGCTACAGATCAAGAGGTTGGATAATGAGGACTGATGTTAGACATAAGGAGGGTAATGCCAGGGAAGGAAGGGGTACTATCAGAGGAGCAGGGAAGAACACGAGAGCAACTTTCCAGACCTGAAAGTTGTCTGAGGTTATTTCTTGGACAACTGTCACCCAGGTCGTGTGCACTTTCTGCACCTTGCCACATCTGTAAGTGATGAAGACATACAGACACATCATCCCCCACCCCCAAGCCTCCTATGATGTGAGGGCATAAAATTCACCAGATGATGGTGGATGCAGGATGTGTCCCTGAGTGTGGTGTAAAAAGCAAGGCATTTTAATCTCCAGGTAGGAGTTCTGGATGAGCCTGCCAGAGAAGAAAGGAGCCAGCAGGATGTTTCAAGACAGGGTAGCAAGCGTGTTAATACCATTGTGGAGTGGCAAGGGGCCAAAGAAAAAGAAAAGGAGAATTTCTGTATTTCCCAGCCCATGCCAAGAAACAGATGGCAGCATTGATGGGAGGGTGTTTAGCAGAACTGTCACTCTGGATTGAACCACCTTGCCAAGTTGGCAGCTGCTGTGTTTGGGACTATGGGAATTTATCACATAGGAATTCCAGGGCCTTGGAGATGGGCTCTTCCTGTGTAAGTCAATTGGGGGTTCCCAGAATGTCTTTAGGGGCAGTGAGTCATGGATATATCTAGAACACTGAGGCATAAAGGACGGTCAGGGATAGGTGTTTTTTGTTGTTGTTTTTTCTTTGTTTTTAATGATGGGAGAAGGAAGGAATCACCTAGGGAATTGTATTGTTTCTGTCTTTAGTTGTTGTTATTGTGGCTGTGTTTGTTCTGAAACCTTTGGATGTTTGAAACTATATGGAGTAGCAGAAATAACTCCTAGCAGGCAATCAGGACATTTGTCAATCAGGTTTTGCTACTCAGTAGAGCTCATTAGTTTTAAACAGTATTTATTATTTTTAGTCAACAATAAGCCCAGAGAGGCACTGAGCTTGAGGCAGGATTCACAATTATGCATACACAGCCCTGATTCTCATGGAGGTGGAAGGGGAAAGATGTAAAATTAAGTGTGTGGTTAAGATACAATGTAATATGCACTCTTAGGGTTTGGTCCAAAGAACAATAAAAACACAAAATAGGAAAGTTAATCAGGATCCAGGCTCAAGAACAATTTCTTGGGGCTGGGGAGGTGGCTTAGTCTGTGAACTCCCATGATTTGCAAGCATGAGCAACTGAGTTCGGATCCCCAGAACCCATGTAAAACATGTGGACATGGCGGCATGAACCTGTGAACCCAGCCAAGTTTGTTCATAGAGAAAAGCAGATTGCTGAAACTCACTGACTAGCCAGCCTATCTAAATTGATATTTATGGTCTATGAAAGACAGTTTCAAAAAACAAAGGTGGAAAGCCACAAAGACACTTAATATTACCCTTGGGCCTTCCCATGCACAAAAGTGAGCCCCACCCTGCACCCATTGCACCCATGCACCCTAATAAGTACTTATATCACAAACAAAACACAAACAAGATATACACACACAAGCTGCTTAAGAGAAGTCAAGATAACATTATTTATATATATATATATATATATATATATATATAT